GGGGGCATTCTTGAGAGTAGCCCCCATTGAATGACCTGAACACGTGGGCAGAATGCATTTACAAGGCAAAGAAATTCACTGTGCACCTCTACCCATGCTCTTGCACTTCCAGAAACCTCACCTCCAGAGGCTCACTCTGCTCTCTCACCTAGATACATACTTCCCATGGCTGTCCCACCATCTCATAAAAAAAATGGTTGCCTTCCCTTGTCCCCCCCTCCCCATTCAAAAAAGTTAATACTATAGGCCGGCCAAAGTATATTTATAGACAGGTTAAAAAAGTGATATACCGACACATGGGGCACCATGAATCAGAACTGACTTGGTGGCTGCAGGGCAGGGAAAAGTACTGGGCAGCCTACCTTGAACTGATTACAAATGATTGTCTAACATGGCGGAATATTAAGAGCCTTGAACACATCATAGCTAGGAGCACTGACCTTGAGTCCACTTCAAGATGTACTACTCCCTTCACCTTGACTTCAGTTCAGGACGATCAAGAACTCGAATAAAAGAATTGCTGGGTTCAAGGTCCTTAATGTTCTGCCATTAAGATGAGCTTTTTCAGACTTGACCTTGGGACCTAGCACTTTACAAGTTGCTAGTCTAACTCATCAAGGGTTCTAGGTAGGTCAGAGGATACTCAGGTCGACACAGGCATACCGTTTATAACATGTTTGTTTCTGCTGTTCCAGGCAATGCTAATAGCTAGTGCTGTCCTTCAGCCTTCAACCCTGCAGGAGTCCTGGTGGCACAAAGGTGGTGGTGACAGGAAGACTGGCAATTCGAACCCACCCAGCCACTCTTGACTTAGAAAGACCTGAGAGCCTAGCAAATCTGACAGAGCAGTTTTTCTCCAGCCTTTGGGTTGCTATGTGCAGAAAATCCACTCCAGATCACCTAACCCAACCACCATCCGGGAAGAGACCACCCTTCATCTCCTGGCATGGCTGGTATACCTTCATCTTAAATCATACAGTGAAATGTGTCCAGATGTGCAGAACAAATTTGGTTAATTTCAAAGTACACTATACACCATATGTTATTGCTTCTGGAAATCAACCATAAACTCAAAACGGTAGCAAAGCTTCCAAGATGCAGAAAACATCCTTTTTGTCCTATATTTCTAAAACAGATATATATTCACGGAAACTGCAAAACAGAAATGAACAGTTAATTAACATTAACACACTTCACTTAGTTAAGTCGTACAATGTTCAACCCTAGGTAGTTACACTCGTGAGAATGCAGGCTTCGAGAGAGATTTGGGACTAGCTCAAGGTGACACTGCAGCAAGCAGGAAAGTCAAAATTTGAATCTGAAGCAGTGTCCTCGAGGTGCTCCTTCACCCCACCCTCCTTGCACCACAGCCGCTGCCCGAGCAGTCGCATGTCTGCCACCAGGAAATTCATGACCCACAGCCATTCTGGGGCTCTGCGCCATAACTGGAGACACAACCGGTTCTCGTGACTCAGTTTTCACCCAAGTGCATGACTGCGGGAGTGAAGGGGCCACGTGAGCCCTCCCACAGGCGCGGGACAGTGCCTGTCTATCCAAGGGCAAGTCACAGGTGCGACAACGTGCCTGGGCTGGATCCGGAGCCGCAGGGCGCGAGCTCCCCGCAGCGTCATCCGGTGGACGTGAAGTCAGCCAGGTGTGGCCCCAGGGCGCGGCGGGGAACAAGTGAGCGGAAAGTGAGGCTTGAGGCGCAGCTAGTACTGCAAAACCGAGCCGCTAGGTCGGTGAGGAAGAACGACCTCGGTCGCTGCCTCTATCCCTACAGGGCGACGTCTGGGACCAGGCGGCAGACCGCCCAGCGCTCCCCGGTCGCCGGCCAGCAAGACTGAGGCGGGGGTGGGGGGGGGGGGGGGAGGAAGGGAGCTGTCTCCCCACGTGGGTGACTCTCGTCTGGGGGCGTGGCCGGTGGGGCTGACTGGGCCAATGAGCTTACTCGCCTGGCTCACCCGGCTTTGCACGCCGAGCCGGCGTGGGTTGCGTCACCGGGGGGCGGGGCTCCGGGGCCGGCGCGAGGCGTTGCGGGTCACGCGGGGCGCGGCGCCGGCTATAAGAAGCGGCAGGCGGCGTGCGTCGCTCGAGTGATGGCTGCCGGCGCGCGCTGCGTGCTCCCTTCTCTCGGTCGCTGAAGGCTCCGTGGCGACGTCCCGGGTGGGTAGCGAGCCCCGCTGAGCCTTCCCGATTGTCGCTGCTCTGGGCCACCTGCCCCAGGAGCGTGTGCGTGCGTGGCGCCAGCCAGCCGCCCCCGCAGTCCGGACTGCTCGTCTCCTGCGCGGCCCCTCGTTTTCTCTGGTGAGTGGCGGCGCCACTTTGGAAAGGCTCTTTCTTCTCATCGGGGCCGGGCGCCGACGCCGCGGCCTCG